TAAGTAACCAGACGTGGTATGAAGCAGTGAGAATTAAATACTCCCCAGTTTTGTTTTTTTTTCCTATATTCTGGCACTGAGGGTCTGAAATTATTTAAGAGATGGAGAAGAGCAGGGTGCAGTTTCTGAAGAACTCAGCAGCCCCAGGTAGGGATGGTGCAAGAACACCTGGTCCTTCCAGGTCCCTACTGTCTCTCAGCAACTTGCTCCTGTTGCATTCAACTACTTAGAAGTTAAAGGCTTCTTTCTGCCTCTGGCACACAAGCACCACCCGGAGAGACTATTGTCTGTCCACAGCATAGCCAAAAGCAAGAAATTAAAAAAGGCTGGATTAAATTCACAGGACAGCAGTAACAAGCATTCCCCATAAACAACACATAATTAGGTCTTTGCAGGCTAATTATAGGGTTTCAGAATAAGAAAGTGCAAAGCCAATGTCCAAAGGTAAAAAAAAAATTAAATTTCCATGACAGTCCAGCTGGACAGCAATGCCACCTGCCGGCAGATTTCCCAGCACTGATTAACCAGGAAACAGGCAGCAGCTTTCTAACCAGGCCTCTCCCGACAAATACAGATTCCTCACTCTCGCACTACTTTTCTCTCACACCCTGTCACCCAGGGAACAGCTCACGAACAGAGAGCAAAATGAACAAAAGTGATGTTAGCTGTAGTGTTTAGAGCCTTATTGGAAGACAGTACCAGTGGTCAGCATGCTGGTATCAGAACAGTTGTCATCTTAAACATTGTGCCTCTGTGATCGATGTACACTTACCAGACTGGATGTTAATGATGTTCTTCACACTGCTTGAAAGGCTCACAACATGCTTCCTTAGACCCCTCAGCACCATGTCTTGCTCTTCCCTCAGAAAACACTAAATGTTTCATACTCCTTGTGAATCACAATTTAAGACTGAAAACAGGCAGGAACAAAATACCTGTTGTCAACAGCCAAATAAATCACAATCTCTGCACTGGACAGTCATTTTGATGACTCATTTTGTCCAGAGATGGAACTAGAAGGCCGGGTGTTTGCCAGTAATTTTTAGAAGCAGCTCCTCAAGAGCCTATCACCTACAGCTTCGGATATAACCAAGTAGCAGACTGGAGGATTTTCAGGTGTGCCCAGGACCCCATATCGTTCAGGAGGACCCACTACCACTTTAAAATCCAGCCATTTCATGGGGTGCCCAAATGAGAGTGGAGCTCCCAACCTTGAGAGTTGAGCAAGAACTTTGGAAACTTGTTTCTAAACATGCACAGCGAAGACCAGGAGGAGTACGTTTAACATGTACAACAAAGCATATCAGAGCTCCATCCAGTGGTCAAGGCCCCCACCTGCACCTCACTAGGGCAGGTTCAACAGGTGACCCCAGGGCAAGTTACTTCAGCCTCTCTGACCTCTGCTTTTCCCCTGCATTTAGAGCTCACTCTGTTTTCCCTGCTGCAGAGGATGACTGGGAAGCTTATATATTCCTGCAGCATGAAACATCCAAGTACATCAAAACAGCACAACTTGCCTAAGTTTAACCATACTAAACACTGAACAGGTATCAAAATTGCAAGCCCTGCTCAGTACTGCAGGATGATACATCTTAGTTCAATGGAGGCAAGTACTTCCAAGACAAAGTGATATTTTTAAGTATTTTCTCATCTTGATCTCTTGTACATTTTTGCATGGGCAAAGGAGTCAAGTTCTGGCAAGTCATGAAGGAAACAAGAGTAACAAAGAATTGCATTCCCCATGAGAACTGGCTGAATCACTTAATTACTTGCATCAACCATTCTTTCATGTTTGGGTTTTTGCCTGTTTTCCCTGCATAAGAAAAGAAACTTATGTAACTTTGCTCCATCTCCTTCCGATAACTTTTGGGACTACTACCAGTTGTATCAATTGTGGAGAGATCTTTAGAAACTCCTGGTTCCTCTCCTGCTTCATGACAATTACTCACTAGATCCAGGAGGTCCAAATGAGCACCCTCCACCATGGGACTGATGAAAACCACACAGCCATTTTACATTTATGCCTGCCTAACTACAGCACACAAGCAGGAAGTAGGACTAGTGTGGTAGAGCAAGAGCTTGAAGAAAAACAGGCACAAATCCCAAGGGACCAAGTCTTACCAATTCTGCTGCTTGTGGCACAACTTTTTGTAAATTGGATAGACTACTTAGAAAGAACGGTGTGCCAAGGAGGATGGGCATGGCGGCAGCAGCTCAGAGAATATATCCTTCCCCTCATTCCCACCCCAGTGACTTCTGTTTCTGGAATTTCTGTTCTTAAAAAAGTTCAGTTGAGTTCTGCATGATTCCCAGAATGGAAACCAGTGCAGGAACACAGAAAGTGGGTGTGATAGGAAAGACACACACACACACACACACAAAAAAAAGTAGGTTTCGCATCTGAAAGACTTCTATTATTCAGCATTTTAGCAAGAATCTCAACCTGTCCAGCCAGGTAAGCTTCTGCAGCCCCTTAACACCTGACCTCTGCCCCACTCCATGACTTCTGACAGCAGCAGTCTCCCTCCATCCCTTCCTCATACCTTTTCTATTGTTCCAGCTTTCATCTTCCCCCACGATATGCACTTTTTGAGACCTGGTAGCAAGGCTCTCTCTATCAGTCATTTGCATATCAGGTCAACATCCCACGCCACTTCACAGTTCCCTCGTGCAAATTTCTCAATCTATATTTCATCACATTCCTCTACATCTCTTACCTTACTGTCACAACCTTCACTTCTGGTTCGGTCTTTGGTTCAGCTGCCACAATAGTAATCTGAAGCAGTATTAAGAAGCTGTGCTTTAGTGAAAAGGTCAACAAAATTAACCTCTTTCCTGACGCGGCAAGGCATGGACAATTATTCTGGTTGTATGGGCCTGTGCTTACTAGGGAGACTGGAGTCTGTTGGCCAGCTCCAAACAGCAGCCTCGAAGATCCTCAGTCCCAAGAAGACGCACGTGATCTCAGGGCTTGTGGGGAAAGATGGGGGAGGGAAGGATGCAACATGAACTCAAACCTCTGTAGAAACCCAAGAATCTACATGGAGATGGGCAGAAAAGGAGGCTTACAAAAGCAGCATCTGCTGAGAAGGTTCAGACAGCACTTACAGCTGACTGTCAGAAAAGGAGGCTTATAAAAGCAGCATCTGCTGGGAAGGTTCAGACAGCACTTACAGCTGACTGGGCAAGAGAGAATAAAACTGAATCACTGCTACAGAACTTAAGCAGCTTGGCTTTCTAAATGATAACTTAGAAGTAAATGCTGGCATAGAAATACTTTAAAGCGTCACCAAAGCATATCCAGCATGTAAAAACTGAACAGGAAAAATTCCTCTGTCCTGAAACAGCAAAAAAAAGTTTGGGTTTTTTTTTGTTTTTTAAAAAGAAAAAGTGGTCTGACTCATTTTTGTATAGTCAGAGTTGGCAAGTACCAAAACCTTAAAAGAGGAAGAGACCATATCATATTACTAAAGGTCCATTGCCTTTTCCATACTAGCATGGAACAGTGAAGAGTTTTTACCATCTAGACTGATCTTAAACAAGGCAGCCAAAAGGAGATTATTTCAATTAAGTCTGAACCTTCCAACCAATGCAGTTCTTTACAAGTGCGATCTCTGGGTTTCCCATTCCTGTTTGCTTTCTATCTTCCAAATGTCTACTTCCCCCCTTGCCCCCTAAATTTTCAGGAAATGATACTATCTTTACCTAAAATATAACCTAGGGAATGGCAAGGATGTTAGTATCTTTAAGAGTGTGTTTGGGATTAACCTTGTTAAGAGAAGTCCAGAGATAAAAGCTGCTTATCCGGGCAAGATGCTTTGGCATCGCTAGCTGCAAGATACCAAAGTAGCATAAATCAAAGCATGATCCCCATGAAAAAAAAAGGAGGAGGGTTTTTTTTTGTTTGTTTGTTTTTACCCCTACTGACATTTCAGAATGGTGTTTCCAAAAAAAGCTTCCATCATCAGGTTAAAAGTCAAGGAAACTCCAGTTCTTACCTACGTGAGTTCATGTTTTATGTTCATAAGGATGCAAGGACTTGATCTTTGCGATCAGGGCTTTAGTCTCTAAAGAGTTACATCTCTGCAACAATTGCAAAATGTTTCACAACAAAAGCAAACTAGGGAAAAGACAGGATTCTAGCATCTTGAGAAGGTTTCACCCATCAGAACAGTTTTAAAATTATCCCTTGAGCAATGGTACAAATCTTCAGATTCACTTAAAACACCACGGCAGACACAGATGCAAAGAGTTTTCCGTTTGTTTGCTCTTTAATGAACTCCCCATGCTCTGACCACTGTACACCTGATATTCTTGTCCAAGTCAACTATCCTTGACTCCTTTATCCAGGTATTCCTAAACTGTGGCTCCCAAGGAGCACTTGCTACACAAGGGATTCAAGTGGAATTTCCACATCCGGGTTACGTACACAGGGGCTTGCTGGATAATCAAAAGTCAAGGCTCTGGAAGGAAGTGAGCAAGCACTGAGCAAACTACCACGGCTAACACAAACACACAAGTTATGCTGGGGTCCAGCGGCATACCCAGACCTGTCTCATCTCATCTGTCAAAACACCTGGAGGGTCACTGTCACTGCCTGCCTTGGCATCACTCCTACGGTGCCTTCTTTTTCCATTAGACTAAGATACGCGGTATGCGTCTTGCCGCACTTCAGACAGAGAAAGATTTGATACACAGCTCACGGGATCAGAAAGGCAGGCCAGAACTCCAGAGTTTTTAGGTCTAGGAACTGCAACTCCAAAGGTAAGGGGTAAACTATCTATTGTGAGCTGCCTTTGAACAGCTGATCCAAATAAACAAACAAAACCAGAGACCTTTCTTGCTTCTATTTTAGGATAAAAATCATTCAGCTACCGTTATTGCTCTAGAGTATTTTACTGTTACACTTTCTAGTGAGAGAGAGCAACTGTCCAGAGAAAGATCATATCTCAAACTCTAAAAGAAAATAATATATTAGTGAATGAACTGTCAACAAATTATTTATGTAAAAGCATGTTCTATTTACAAAGGTCAACTTGCTCTTTAGGACAAGTAAAACCACTACTGGAAAAAATATACGTATAGAAACGCCTCATCTTTCAAATAGACATTTACAAATACTCCGCTTTGCTTAAACTACTAGAAACATTAAGACATTTGAAATTAAGAGTGCGTTCTGCATGCAGTTAGGATAGAAATTACATTATTGGACTTCAGTGTGTCATTTCTTATCATTGTCAACGACACACTCTTAGGTTCTTCTAAAACACCACAGCCTGGCTATTACCTTAGGATCTCAAAAGGAGGACATGGATCTTCACTAACAAGTTATCAGTTACTCTTCACTTTGCCATTAAAAAAGGACATCCCGATTGTCTTCTCAGCAGGAGAGTCTGGTCTTGTCAAACTTGGTGTCCTTTTCCCTGAGTTTCCCTTTAGTGTTTTGCTAGGCATGATGATTGTTGGCTTGGTATATTTACAAGTCCTTGGTCAGCACTCTTCCCATTATAAGGCAGAGTTCAGAAATTCAAGGAGTTCTGCACGGTTCCGGTCTCTCTGTAGAGCAGAAAAGCAGAGTCAGCGGTTTAACAGACCTATACTCAGTGGACCAAGGCTGCACAATCCTGCTTTCTGCGCGGCTTTCGCATCTCAGGCTGCACAACCCTGCTTTCTGCGGGGCTTTCGCATCTCAGCACGCTGCACAGCAAACACTACCCTACTCAAACAGCTGGATATGACTAGCTACCAGTTAGGTGTGAGTGCCTGGAAGAAGTGCAAGGCAATGGGTACTCAGGAGAGATGCTATAGGAGACAAGCTGTCACTGTCACTATTTTATGATGCATTTTCTAAGTGGCTCCCTGTGGAGGCTCCACCAGGTTGTCATCATGTAGCTCACAGCCTGCTCAGGAGGGAACTCCCAAGCAGAATCGATGCAATTCTCTGGTGTCTGAGGCAACTTTCACGGTACGCACAGCAAGTCTTGTGCTTTGGGAAGTCACCACTTTTTTCTATGCATAAGCAGGAGCTTGCAGCAAAACAGAAAGGGAACCATGAATTTAGGTTCTTTCTTTACATACGAGATGGCCCAAACAGTCAAAACACTTGTTTTCAGTGTTTTTAAAACCACAATTTATAAAACAATTATTAAATCTTAAAATATTGTGAAGAACGGATGTTGTTCAATTCAGCATGTTCATGACCATGGACACCAATCAAAAAAGGACAAACATCAAATACTTGACATCAAATATTATATCCCAATAACCCACTTGTTAAGGCTAGCAAGCATTCAGCATAATTTAACACAAAATTCAATGCCACAGAAAGAAGACAATGTATTTTTTACCAAATTTAACTTGGAATGCTCAGGTCTGCTTTGGTAGCTATAGAATGAACTGTTATGGCTGAATCGGAACCCGCCAAACTGGATACCTCAGTAAAGTAACACTTCTAACACATACTGACTGGTACCAGAAGCCCTCTGCAGATCACACTAAGGTGTGGAAACTGCTGAAAAGAGTGAACATATTATTTAAGTTGTGAGTCCAAACACCCATAGCAATAGCACATAATGCTATTCATGATACCTATTTCCCTGGGTATCTCAGCAAAAACACCTGACTGCTTTGAAAGAATGCATGAGCACGTAGTCGTAATACTACTATAATCTTTTTTTAATTCCTCTCTGAATAATGGCTAGCCTCGCATGCGTTAGAAAAACACAGTAAAGCAGCAATTACCACAATTGATCACAAGAGACTGGAAGAAGATGAGGACGATTAAAAACAGTGCAAATTAAATCAACAGAGAAAGCCACAAATCAGCTAACATTACAGACTGAAATTTTAAGAACCTGCACAAGCATCCTTTGGTTTATCTACTCATGCCCGAGTATTCCAAGCCCACCCATAACACAAAACCTGCCAAAAGAATGAATTAAAATTTCTCAGATGACATCATAGTCACATTAAAAGCTACACTCAATTTGCAACTCCTGACTGTAAGATCTACTCTTCTACAAAAGACTACTATTAGAAAAATATTAAAAGACACAGTATTTCCCCTTAGGGATATATAGACCATTTTAACTCTTACCTCTTTATCCTTCTTAGTCTTCTTTATTCTCATCTTAATTTTCTTTCCTGTTATCATGCTGTAGTTTTCATTCTTCTTTTTGTTTTTAAAGAACTAAAATGAGATCGCACATTAGAAAGACATAAGCTTTGCTTTATTTTGCAATGTTACAAATCTTAAATAAAATTACAGACAATAATCTTTTACACTTCCTAAATGTCCGAAACAATAGAGATAGGTTTCTATTTGCTGACGACAAAACTGGTGGTGTTACAAACATTTTCATGACAGGACAGATTAAGTGTTTAGATGAGAAATATAATGGGACTTCAGACTCACACAAGCATACCTTGGAAAGCTGGACAGGTCCTGTTTTCTCTCTCTTTTTCTTCTTTTCTTTCTTTTTCTTCATTTTGTTCTCTTTTTTCCTTTTCTACAAGTATAAGACATATGCTTTTATGCTTACAGACTCACAAGGGCAAAAAAAAGAAATCCACAAGTATCTCTCAATGCCCTGGCTAGTCAAGACAGCCACTACTGCTTGCCCTTACCACTGCTAAACAGGTACTATCTGAAATACACAGAAAGTAATGCAGCAGGGTTAGCAACCCTTGAGATCTTGAGAAACAGAAATGGTCTGATCCCCTATTCTCTCTCTTTTAATGTAACCCCAATATATAAAGTCACTGAAGGTCCTAATAAAACGAAAAAGAAAAATTACAACAGCAAGAATCTACTACTCTCTCACTGACTATAAAGTTTCTTCTGACAAATTCTATAAAGTTATCAAGATTCTCCACTTCTCTTTTCTTCAGAGACTACTCTAAACTCTAGCTGAACCAGCAATGATTGGCAAAAGGAACCTTTAAATTATTTCTCCTTTGGTATACACTCAAGTATATGCCAACCTATCAGTTCACCTACCGTAACCCTAAAAGCATGATTCAAATTTACATAGCCACAGACAAAAGCATTACATCTTACATGACATTTAAGGTTATTGCAATGTGAAGAACTATTTTCTGTTTATTAATTACTTATTTCTCTTTGTAAATGTTTACCTTTTTGTTGTGTTTTTCTTTTTTCTTTTTCTTTGATTTAGACTTAGGAGAATCTAAAATTAAAAAAACAAACCAAAACAAAATCAAACCCTGTAAGTTTAGCATTCTGAAAAAGGCATTTGTTTTTACAGATAAGGCATAAAGAAATGTAAAACATAAGAAAAATATGCTTTAATTCAGTTACATATATTAACACTGGTTGAAACTAACCCTGAGAAAAGCAACACATTAACTTACTGCCACTTACTGGTTTAACACGGAAACTGAAAATACCTGATTTACTCAGTGATTACTCATACCAATATATTATATTAATAGAGACAATACTTCTCTCTTCTTTCTGCAGCTATGCTCAACAGATTGCAAATATCTGTTTTATAGCCAGGGATCGTGACTCTCAAAGGAGACAACAAAAAGGACTGCTGGGGCTGACAAACCACTGAAAATATTATCACTGTTCAAGGCAAATGAAAAACTTTTCGTACTTACTCAGCTCACCTTCCAACTTCAAGGTTTTTAGTAAGTTTTGTAAAGCAGAAACTCACAAGTTCTATAAGCCAATCATAGATTTTAAAGATTACACTGTGACTGGTATGTGAAGAAGTCGATTTTGAAGCACCAGCTTTGACTATGGGACTGTAAACCTTGAGATTGTGAAACAGCTTACTAGTCTTCCAACAGACTGCCTTCAAGCTATCAGCTCTGCAGTTTCTTTACAATAAATTCCAAGCAAAATATAACATTATAGGAATATACCAGAGCACAGCCAGACTCAAAAGTTAGAAAAGGCTAAGGTAAGGCTGCCCAAGCAATCTTGTTTTGGCCTCCTAATGACAAATGCAGCACAAACATGTCAGAAGAAATGATGAAAATGGTAATTCTATCACCACATTCAGTCTCTTGGTAACAACGAACTGGACTAAGTGCCCACAGGGGATGGTATACCTGGCCAGAGAGCTTTTACAAATGTTTGCCAACATCAGGAAAGGGGTACATTCAAGAACACTGGGTTTCCTTCCAGACTCTGAAAATCAGTACACTATGGTGAAGAGACACTTGCTCAGTTTTACCCCTTTGCCCACATCTCTTCCAGACTCAGTTTTTATTTCCCACCATTCTAGTCATGGTTCTCATGACCACAAACCCTAGAAGAACTTCTCTAGACTTCTGCACTGAACTGTTGACTTCCTAGGCTAAGCCAGGCCATCTTCTCCTCCTGTTCACTCTTCCCGAGTTGCCATCCCTCGCCACCTGGCCTCCCCACTAGCTCAATCTGTTTCCATATTCGGCCACCCTACCTCCCTAGTTCTAGCACGGATTTGCCTGCTTGTCTCCTGTCTGAGGGGAACCCCCTTGCCAGCTCCACCTAACAAGTTGCATTCCCAGTTTCTAAATCCCGATGTCTCTTTTTCCACAGCAAAGTGTGTCCTTTCTGCATTCAAGTTAGCTTGATTTTCCATATAACCTATGTCACCAGCAAGGTTGGAGAAGGTGGATTGGGCATACAGCTTAAGGGAGCAGGGTACAGTTTCCCCCACTCTCCTCTCGGTTTTCCCAGCCACTGCCCAGTGTCTAACAGCCAGAGTTACAGCTGCACTCACTAAATAAGAAAAGAGAAACACAGATAAAAAAATGCCAGAAGAAATCTCCATTTTGCTGTCCCAAGGAATGTTAACTCCACGCCTGCTATACCCGCCACATGAGACTGAGGCAACCTTTGTCATTCAAGGTATTTAACTGCAGGGTTAATTAATTAATTCCACTGTTCTGCTGCTAGAATGTATTTTTACTAGATCTAATTCAAATCCCTCCTGTTGCAATTTAAGGTCAGTATTCCTTGCTCTGAAAGTCACAGAATGATTTTTCACTCCCTCTCCATAGTGGCAACTACCTACGCCTATATATCTATCTTAGCTCAATTACCTCATGCCTTTTCTTGTCTAGATGGAGTAAACAGAGTTGTTTAAACATGCCCCTGTAGGACATTTTTGCTAGATCATCTGCTCTCCCCTGTGAATGGGAAAATGTACGGAATTTTTAGCTGTAAAGTTTTAGCAAATCTCTGAGCATGCAGACTGACAACTTGAGCCTAATTCAGAATGGTTTTTTTCCTCAGATACATGTTTCTTGACATCCCACCAAAAGATGAACCATAGAGCATGCCAAGCACATTCACACGACACAACATTTTAATTCTTTTTAGAAGTTTTAGAGTGTATCACATGGGATATAATTCATTCAAGAAGAAAGGAAGACCTGCCCCCATCAAATGTACAAGTTCATAGATTTGAATATTTTCAGAATTTATTTATGTCAGATACATTGAATCAAGCCACTGAAGTATGAGAACAAGTAATGTTTCCATACAGATGTAAACCTGCTTCAAGAGAAGCAGAACTAAGTCTCTGTTAAACTGTGGAATACATAGTCACAAATACGAGATCCTGTACTAGATGGTGAAGTTTCAGCCAACCCTGATGTTAGAGTTCATACTAGAGTTCTTCCCAATCATAGTAAAAAAGGATAAAATACACTTCAGTGTTTAGCCTGACACATTTTCTTAAAAAATGGCAATTTGGTCACTTTACCTGCAGTGATACCAAATATTTTGATACAGACCTTTAAAACAATGCAGTCCTGATATAATCAGCAGTACATTCCCCTCGATGTCACAAGTTACACCCATAGAAAAAATCTGCACTTACTCCCAGATAGTATCTACCCCAAGTCCTCTAAGCAAGCAGCAGCTTAGTATGGAAAGTCTTAATCCTGCAATGCTTGCGCATGTGTTCCCATTGAACTTGGTCATTGGTACTAATAAACTTCACGTGAGTCCTCAAAGCTAAATGCTTGAAACGTTAAGACCAAAAAAAACCCCAGCTCTGCTCTAGATAGATGGGTGAAGTAGAAAAAGATCTCTGTTTTGAAAGTGTAATGAACACACGGTTTTAAATATATACGGCATATTGTTACAAAGTAGCATTTCTTTGAATGGCAGTTTCTATTTTGAAGTTACTTAAATTAACACAAGAACATTGCATACTGTGTGTAAAGAGGTACCGTAACACAGCAATAGGAAAGGGTTATGAGAGAACACTCTGAACGTGCAGCATTGGTATTCTACACTGTCACTTTGTGGTGGTTTAGCCACATTTGAAAAAAAGCTTTAAACGTTTTCAGGAGTGCTATCAAAACTGGTAAACACCATGTGTATGCATGGAGGTAGCTTACCTCTGCTACTTGAAGAAGACGACCTTGATGATGAGCGTGATGGGGAGGAAGAAGTGGATGTAGCGCTAGAAGACGATGTGGATGAAATGGATGATGATCTGCTTCTACTGCGCTTTCGTTTCCTTTTTTCTTTTCCTTAGGATAACACAAGGCTCAGTGACAAGCATGCTAGTAACCATGATCTACAGAAATGACTCTTCACAGAACTTAAACACAATGAACCTCTATTTTGAGGGGTCGGTTGTGTTTTTTTCCCCTCTTCCAGTGTGCCATGGTCTATTACCATTAGCAAGTGACAATGCTCAGTATCAGGGTCAAACATGGTCACTGACATACAGGATAACACACATGACACCATAGCACGGAAACAGATTAGCAATGCCTACCTCGGACTTTCAGCCCTTCTTGTGAAGTTGCACACAGTGCCCTACTTTTTTCATCCTTTCTGTTATCCATATCTAGTGAGAGACAAAAGTACATCCAATAGCATCATTTCCAAAAGACTTTGGGAAAACAAAAAAAGCGCAGCGCAGAGGTAGAGGGAACCAGCGAGCACTTCTAAGGGCAGCCCCACCACCACTCCTATCAAAGTGCATCACACTATGGTGTCGTGCACATTTAGGCTCTCATCCTCTTGCATCAGGAACGGGAGGCCAAACCCCTGTTTTTGTGTCATCTTCGATGAATATGCAGATGCAATTTTTTTTGCCACAGCAGCTCCATTTCAGGTTACCAGTGGATTACAGCATCCCGCCTAGCGCGGCCGAGGAGGAGGAAGCCCTCGGGGCTGCGCACAGCCT